TTTCCTATTATTTTAACTACAGGGATTTTACCTCCATCCAGATTCTGTATGTGACTCACAGCATTGGGTAGAGGGCTAGGGAAGGAATCACAGAGGTCAGACATACACATCATACACTAACGAAGCAAGGCTGTATCTGGATCCTAGACCCCAGCACTCTGAGACACAGCCCGCCACTGACTCAGCCACCATCCTGGCCGGGAACTCACAAATCCAAAGCACCCTGTCCCCATGCCGCTGACCAGCCAACCTTGTACTCTTGCTCTGCCCTACGGAAACAATTCAAGGGGCACTTGGTGATAAGATAGGATCATTGCCTTCAAATCAAATTTCAAAAATACTTAACGCATCACCTTTATGTGTAAGGCCCTGTACCAGGTACTGTGGGAGAAATAGTGATGAATAAGACCCGATTCCTGGCCCTGGAGGCACTCACAGTCTAGTAAGACAGACAACTAATTACAATACAGAGCAGAGCGATATGCCAAATGAGAGATTCATGCCAAGTACTCTGGAGCACGGAAGAGGAAAAATTACTTCCCACTGTAGGGAAACAAGATTTCTAGGAGAAAACATTTATTCTAGGCCAGTAGTCCTCAACCAGGGGCACTTCTTCGTTTTTTTTGTTGTTGTTGTTGTTTTAAGGTTTTATTTATTATTTATTTGAGAGAGAGAGAGAGCACGAGCATGAGAGGGGAGGAAGGGCAGAGGGAGAGGGAGAAGCAGATCCCCGCTGAGCAAGGAGCCCAATGCGGGACTCAATCCCAGGACCCTGGGATCATGACCTGAGCCCAAGGCAGATGCTTAACCGACTAAGCCACCCAGGCATCCCAACCAGGGGTACTTTTATTCCCCAGGGCGACTGACAATTGGCAAGAGAGACATTCTGGTTGTCACAACTTTGGGGGAAAGGGGTGACGGTGGAGGTTTGCTGCTACCCATATCCAGTGTATAGAGGTTGAAGATGCTGCTAAACATCCTACAATGTACAAGATAGCTCCCCACAACAAAGAGTCATCTAGCCCAAAACGTCACTAATGCTGATTTTGAGACCCCTGACCTAGGCCTGTGTGGACAGGTGGAATTTTTACAGGTAAATGGAAGGCAGAGAGATGCTGAGATGAAAATTTATCTAAAGCAAAGACAGGCGCCTGGGTGGCTCAGTCAGTTAAGTGTCTGCCTTCAGCTCAGGTCATGATCCCAGAGTCCTGGGATCAAGCCCCACGTCGGGCTCCCTGCTTAGCAGGAAGTCTGCTTCTCCCTCTCCCTCTGCTCCTCCCTCTGCTCATGCTCTCTCTCTCGCTCACTCTCTCAAATAAATAAAATCTTAAAAAAAAAAAAAAGAGCAAAGGCACAGTGATGGGATATAAAGAAACATGTTTGAGATGGTTGTAGCCTAAAGTAAGGGAATACAGTGTAATGTGAACTAGTCAGGAAAGCTAAAGGCAGATTGTGGGAGCACTGAAGGGCCGGTTAGAGTTTAGATTGATTTAGTAAGTAAAGGCAGGCCACTTTTAAGTTCCATCATCTCCAAAACACAGTAACACCTAGCTCATAGAGTGGTTGAGCATTAAATGAAACTGTATATGCAACAGCTAGAACAGGGCTTGGCACACGGTAGGGATGCTCCTTTTCCACTGCACTCCCTTTACAAGGTAGAAGTAATGATCAAAGTTGTGCTTTAGTAATTCCAGTAACAGTGCAAAAAGACAAACTTACAGGCAAGATAATATAATCAAAACCATTAGGGCACAAAGCAAGACATTCTAATTATGTGCTAAACTGAGTTGCTTTGGACTGTGTGGTATGGGAGTTAGTCCTGGGATGAGAGAGAGATCAGTGCGGGGTGAGAAAGTCAGGGAAAGTTCATGAGAAGTGAGCCTGGAGCATTCCAGGAGATACCTAAGACTGATACGGACAGGGCCGAGGGCTGAAGGGGCGGGTAGAAATTAATCCCAGCCAGGGAGAACTAGCTGAGCAAAGAAAGGGCACTGCAACAAGCATGGAATGAGTCTGAGACAATGAGGGCCAGGGCCAGATAAGAGTGGTAGGAGGTATGTCCAGAGAGTCTTAAGAAAGACCAAGACCAGATTTGAAGGGATGGAGTGCTTGGCACAGGAAGTCAGGTGGAATCAGAAAAGAAAATCACGCAGGACATAGGAAACCGAAGTGTGACTTGGGAAGATCAATGGGCAGCATGGACAACGTGGCTGGTAGAGGGGAAACTAGAGGCAAGGGAGCACGGAGAGGTGTCCACAGCTGTCTGGATACGGAAATAAGGCCCAAAGCCTGAGGCGGGAAAGCAATTCTTAGTAATCATGCTAGTACTTCTGGGCATAACGAAGCTACTCACCCGCATCCCACTTAGCCCAGGCAGGCCAGAGCACTGGCTATGTGCATGAAGCCCATGGGGCTTCTCTCCCTCCCTACATACCACCTCCTATCAAGTCCAACTCCTGCTGGCCTCTGGATTTTCCAAGTGGAGCCGCTCCTCTCAAGGTTTAGTTCCCGCAGCCCACACAGCCCTCCAGGACCCAGCAGGCCCCGTGAGGGGACAATGCAAAAGGGGGAAAGCAAATCAAGAGTCAGATGCTTAACCGACTGAGCCACCCAGGCACCCCTGTGCCAGAAACTTTCAACAGAACTTTTCTCACTGAGTTCTGGCAATAACCTTGCAAGGGTAGGAATCACTAACCACCATTTTACCTAAGAAAACTAAAGGGGAAGTCACTAAACTACTGTAATCGCAGTTCTTCCTAATTTCAGAATTTTACTCATTATTTAATCACCTGTGACATACAGACTACTAGAATGCAAGCTCTATAAAAGCTGAAATCTTCTCTGTTTTGTTTGCTATAGAATCTGTAGCCCTATAATGGTGCCTGGCACATACAGGTATTCAATAAAAATCTGTTTAATGGCTGGATAAATGCCCTTGATTTCCCATGTAGGCTCCAGAGAAGAAAATAACACTGCTCTCAAAGTGTCAGGTCAGGTCGAAGGGACAGTGGTTGTAGACAGCCTTTCTCTGTCTACTTCAGACTGTCCAGACAACCTGACAGGACCATCCCCCTACAGCAAATCCTTTACCCATGGGCAGTGTTCCCACCAGAGGTCTCAGCAGAACACAGGCCATGAATTTCCACACTGGTGGGCTGGTCGAACTTCCTCCCAGCCTTGCAAGAAGGGTACCACTGCCAATATTCCCATCTTGTTCATCTGAAGGGCCCCCAATCCACAACCTCTGCCAACTCAGACTGAAGCAAGCAAAGATAGTACTTGAGCAGCCAAACTGGCTGCCCCACAAGCAACTGATTATATATTTTCTATAAAATGCCTGCTAAGTCTCAGCTTGCCATAAATCTAATTTCATAGCTCACAGCAGAGTAAAGACAGCAATTAGAAATGGGGATGATCAAAGAAGAGACAGGGAAATTATGAGAAGAAATCACAACAATGGATATAGGAATCTAGGTACTGGGGTAATCGTGTAAGAGGCCCTGAAGACATGCTTTGAATGATCCAAATAAAGTCACCACTCTGTTCACAATAATCTGTAAAAAGAAAGACTTATTTCAAAGATGGCTAAAATGTTAAGAGCTCTAGAACTGAGGTTATAGTTTAGTCATCTGAAAAACTTACTGATATGAGGCTGAATAAATGAGGCCTCATAGGGTATCCCTTCAGACTTGCACTAAGATCCTTGGGGAATCAGCAGGGTTTTTTAAGTGGTCATGAAAAGCTCAGGTCCCTCATGGCCAGCACAAGCACAGTTTCATCTCTCACATCTCAGTGCCCAGTAGCCAATATTCTAAGCTCTGAGCTGTCCACCCAACACTCTAGTTAGAACCTGACCTCCAAGGTTGTCTCATATGTTTAGACTGACTTAAACACACACACTTTGCTACCATTGCTTTCTCTTTCGAAGACAGGTGCTTGTGACTGATCATGACAACCCAGACTGGCAGGCCCCCCTCACCACCAGAGGCCTGAGACTGCAGGGGGAGCAGCTGAAGCTAAGGCAAAGGCAGGAGCTACACTGAAAAAGAACAGCTCACCACTGGCACAGAGAAGAGCAGGGTGACAGCTTTTGTGTTATTTTAGAACAGTTTGTGCTGATGAGCTTTTTGTTGTGGTAACATTCCTCTAAAAAGAACATTTTCTTCCTCCCCTCATTGACAAAGCAATCAGCAGAAAGTGAAAAAAGGAGCAGATGATGAAGATATCCAGGAATTTGTAGATCTTGGATCATATCACCTTCTTAACTGGTGTGCCATCCATCCCCTAGTCCTGTGGCCAGGCCCCCGGAGAGAGATCAGGAAACCTCTAGGCCTCATCTGCCTCCAGGAACATGGTTCTATTCTCAGCGCAGGCAAATAAAATTTGGGACCTCTGAGGGCCAGTGCCGCTTCTAGATGCAACCAAAAGTTCAGATACCTTCATCGCGGTTGCTGTCCTTGCTCAAGGACCTACAGTTGCCAGGTTCAACAAGTAGACCTTGCTCAGCCAGGCTGTCTGGGTCCCCACTTTCCTTTCCAGATTTTTGTCCTGCAGTCTTCCACCACAGTCGCTCTGTCCAACCAAACCCACCCACCACGCTCTTACTACCTCCACATCTGTACTCACACTGGTTCCCTGCTTACTCAGGCTGCCCCATTCCTTCCACTCCACCCGAACGTCTACTTTTGCTCCAGGAGGTCTATTTTTGTCCTCTTATAAATTCCTTAGACATTATCTAATTCAACCGAATGCAAGGATCCCCTCTGCTAACTAATCGGTGGAGTGCTATATTCTACCTGCCCATCTTCAGTGACAGGGAGCTCACTACATACCTACCAAGGAAGGCTCTTCTATGACAAGATGGCGCTGGTGACGATTCTTTATTCTAAATGAATATGCCCATATTTTATTTTTCTCACATTGGTCCTGGTTCTGCCCTTAGTCTAAGAGAAAGAGTACACCAGTACTTAACAGCATGAGCTTTGAAATCAGATCTGTGCTCACACACAGTGTGTCCTTGAACAAGCCTTTCCAAGGCTCCAGTCCTTGACAATAATACCAACTTCAAAAGGCTATTAAGAAAGGTAAAAGAGTTAATTATGCAAAGAGCTTAACACTGTGCCTGGCACGGAATAAGAACTCAATAAATGCTAGCTAGAGCTGCACTTTTCATCGCCTGCACCATCGTTACTTAACTCTGATTCCTCCACTCCTAATGTATTTGAAGACAGAAATTTTATTTCCCAGATCTTTTCTTTTCCAGGCTCCCGTTTCTCCACTAGACTGTAAATGATATGACGACAGACGCGTGTGTCCTCTTTACAGGCCCATGTCTACCACAGTGCCTGGCACATACATAATACTAATAAATAACCAAATTCTATTGAATGTCTCCATTTCAGAGTTTCCATGCCCTTCATCGTTCACTCCTTCCCGTACAGGTTCTCACTGTTCCAGGTGCTTCTGACAACATGAGATTCAAAACTGAACTCAAAACTTAAAAGGTGGGCTGACGAGCAGGGTGAAGAGACTGGGCTTACCTCTCCCTCGTGACATACACCATATCACTATTAAAGATCTGGCATAACTTGGCAGCTTCACCAAACTGCTGGCTCGTGTTGAGCTTGAAATCAACTGAAACCTTTATATCTTTTCACAAGTGATGACTTCGTACTCTGGGCTCTGTGGAATTGGAACTGTAGTGATGCCAAAAGGTGAGACAATAACAGAGCTTTTTCCATCTAGAGATTCCTCTCACTCCTACTATCTAGACTACTCAACCGGCTCCCAGCAACTGGAGGCCCGCAGTGCAATTCAGAATGATCTTTCTAGGAACATGTGTTTCTTCCTCCCAAACAGAGTATAAACTCCCAGAGGGCAAGATAAGGACCGCCTTGACTTCTCTCCTACATGCCAACACAGGGCTGAGCACATAGTAAGTACAGACGGATGCCCCCTCTGTCTGCAGCGGGATTACAATAAGGAGTCAGGGGAACTGTAGAGACCGACCTCGAGGCTCCCTCTCCCTCTCAGACAGCACAGCTCAGTCAGTGTTGTGCTTCTAGCTGGTAGGCAGATGGGAGCCAGTCCAGGCAGAGACACAGACATCAGGCCTGCACCCGGACCAGCAGGGTCCTATAGGGCTGTTCTGCTGAGAATCACCTCCCTTCGCAGGGAGGAGCTCCTTGAGAACAAGCCAACATCAAGAACATCTCTCCACGGGGAAGAGTGTCTAGACAGCTTTTAGAGACTGTCCACACAGGAAGAGAAGAGAGCCACGGCAGGGTGAGAGAGCTCACCTCATCGCTTTCTTCCACATCCACATCGCCATTGGCATCATCGTCCATCAGCTTGTGGATGCTGCGGACTGCATCGAAGCTGAGCTTCTCATCCTCACTGTGGCACAGGGGCTTGTCAATCCGGCAAAACTCTGTACAGGAAAAGCAAGAGACAACATTACTGTGGGCCGCCACTGGCCTTTACTACCCACCTGTCCCAGGGTCCGTAGCTTCCAGCAGCTAAAGCCTCATGTAGCCACTTCACTGGCTATTTGTACAGTGAGAAAACTGTTTCATCCAGTCTTCAACCTTCTCCCCAAATCTCCCCCATTTAGGGACAATGCTTTATTATCCTAATCTTTCCCTGCTGGCAGGGAAGTCAAGCATAAGACCAGGAATACACTGGGATCTAGACAAAGAATATGAATAGGTAACTCACACGGAAAAAAATATAAATGAGAGAAAATACAAACAGCCAACAGACACAGGGAAAAAAGTTTAGCCTTACTAGTAAGTGAAGAAATACATGTTCAAACAAAATACCATTTTTAGTCAGTCGATAAATAAATGTGCATTAATACAGTCTTTCTAGAAACAGGAACACAGCCCATTCCCTGCAGTGCCAAAATAATACGTATTTTCCTTCTCATTCACTTTGTCACTGCTGGGAGTAGCAGAGTGCCAGCCACGGACTAGCTGCAGAAAGCCTTCACATGCGGAGCCTGCCCACAGCGAGTTACAGTCAGCGATAGCCATCAGGCACCCACGGTCCTGAGCACATCAGCTGCAACAGTGTGGGAGGCCCGCAGTGCAGCTTCCCCCACCACCGACACACAGCCATGTACCACTAAAGCCAACACAAGAGCTGAGGCCACCTAACCCTCTCTTGGAACCCCGGGAAACACTATGCATACAGCAGAAAGAGCCTGGCATCTCGTCTTAGCTCTACCGTGTGACCCTAGGGAGGTCACTTCACTTCTCCGGCCTCAAGCTCACTAACTGAAAAAGACATTGTAAGTGAAGTTTCCAGTATGTCTTCCAATTCTTAGATTCTAAAATTCCCCTTTCCTTTGACCCTGATCTTGATAACTTCTCTCCAGCAAAAACTCCTCAGATCACTCCCAAAGAAGAAGCTGTCACAGGGGCGCCTGGGTGGCTCAGTCGTTGAGCGTCTGCCTTCGGTTCAGGTCATGATCCCAGTGTCCTGGGATCGAGCCCCGCATTGGGCTCCCTGCTCCGCAGGAGGCCTGCTTCTCCCTCTCCCACTCCCCTTGCTTGTGTTCCCTCTCTCGCTGTGTCTCTCTCTGTCAAATAAATAAATAAAACCTTAAAAAAAAGAAGAAGAAGAAGAAGAAGAAGCTGTCACAGAAGAGAAAGCAAGGACAGGGTAAAGAAGCTGCTGCTGTGAAGCCTTCTAGAAGGCACTGGTCAAAGACCTGTCTGCTGATCAGAAACACTGACAGCACAGGACAAGTCACCTCTCTCTCACTGGCTAGTTGTTCAAATCCTTTTCAAAATGAGGGAGGGCTATAAATGTTAAATGCGGAAAATGTCCCAGTTGTGACTCAATAAAAACATGTTGGATACTGGAGCTCACAGATGTTAACTGATGTGTCCAAAGTCAAAGACAGCTGAAGAGCCACAAGGAGAGCCCAGGTCTATTGACTCCCAGGCCCACACTTCACCTGTCCGCCTTTATGCCAAGGCGCCCAAACAGCTTTAAGTTGGGTTTCATCTTCTGGAAGTCACAGATGGTAAAAAGGACACTGAAGAAATGGCTTCATAGAAGACAAAAAGTAAGATAAATAGTATACATGCCAAAGAAATATCTCCATATAATCTTATATTCTTCTACATTTGTCTTACAAGTTGAAGTGGAGAGTGGAGGGTGGGGTGAGGCAGTGGTGGGTACCCAGGGAAAGAGAAGAATGCAGCCAAAGATTAAGGCATTGTTTCTCAACTTCTTCACCAATAAGAGCTCTTGGCATGATTATTTCATTTATGGACTCCTATCCATGAACTACCTATCTAAACGGAATTGCAGTTAAGTACTGACTGGTCCATAGATGGAAGCACACAGCCCTGGGGATTAGCATTACCAACATAACGCTTTCCTGCCCTTATTCCTGTTTTTGTGTTCATCAAAGGCACATATAATTGCCTATCAGAATAAGAAAAAAAAATTTTTTTAATTGCCTATCAGAGATTTTTGATCAGCCTATGATGTGCCCATTTAAACAACATTTATTGCGTGTTCTTTATATGTCAGGCTCTGTAATCAGCATGGGGCATAAAGAGATGAGTCAGATCTCATCCCTGCCCTCAAGGAGCTTAATTATAAATGTAGGGGAGAGAGGTGATTAAAACACTAAATGCTAATTACCATGATAGAAACAATCAGGATTACCCTAGGGGTCAGCAAACGTTTTCTGTAAAAGGCCAGACAGTAAATATTAGGATTTATGAACCAGATAGCCTCTGTTACAACTACTTTATCACTGAGCACAAAAGCAGCCATAGACAAAACCTAAGTGCATGAGCTTAGCCGTGTTCCAAGAAAACCTTATTCACAAGAACAGGTGGTGGGCTGAATTTGACCCCTGGGTCATAGTTTGCTGACCCCTGTTCTAGAAAACCACAGGTAGCACACCAGAACCACATTAGGTTGACAGATTTTTGACCCAAAGCAAAGAAATTCCATCTTTTCATTAGCCTGTATCCACACACAGGTCTATCGTAAGTAAAGCACAGCTTCTTTTTTTTTTTTAAGTTTTATTTATTTAGGTAATCTCTACACCCAACATGGGGCTCCAATTCACAACCCCAAAATCATAAGTCTCATGCTCTTCCAACTGAGCCAGCCAGGCGCACCAAAGCATAACTTCTAAAAGGCTTTTTTAAAATGCTGAATGAACTAGTTCACTGAGCTCTAGGGCTGTGGGGGTCTCCAGGCTGGGCACCGTTGGCCTTAAGGTCAGCCAGCCCCTTTCTTGAAGGCCTATGGCAGGTCCAAGAAGTTTGGGCTTCAAACACTAGGCTCTGGTTTGTAACCTGATCAGACACACAGGTGACCTTTGCTGCTGGCATCATCTGGCATAGAGAAGGATTAAAGGGATTGAGGATAAAGGAGTACAAAATCTTGATGTCCCATAAGGCCATAGAACCCTGTTCAGAAAAAGCACGTTAGCCAAAATTCACTAATGACTCCTGCCTACCAAGCATTTCCTAGGCTGTCTCTCTCTCCTTCCTGAATCTATCATCTCTTATATATTCCGATCTGCCAAGGCTTCCCAGAACCATCTGGAAATACCTTAGAAGATCCAACCATTTAGCAACACATTATTAGTAAGAGCCCTGGACTTGGAGTCAGAACACGTATGTCAAAATCCTAGCTCCATCAGTTACAACTATATGATGTTGGACAAGTTGTTTAACTTCTCTTAGCTTCCAATATCTCATTTGTAAAATGAGGATAATTATATCTGCTTACATGGTTTTTGCAAAAATTAAGAGTTTTTGCAAAAATTAAGACCACATTTGTTCAAACACCTAGCATAGGGCATGCATAAAGCTGACAATCAATACATTCGTAGTTTCCTTCTTTCCTCCCAGAGCAGCAGGTGAACAGCTCCCATCCTCTGCTAATCAGCCACTCTCCCTGTCAGACTATGAAGAATCAAATATAGGATATACAGTCCAATCAGATCAATCAGCATATGTTCTAGATGAGCTGGCAAGTGATTATGACAATGGCCTATATTCCCACAACATTTATTTGTCTATCGCTGATAACATTCATCATACTGTGTTGCAGTTCTGTCTGTCCTCCCCATCAGACTGTGATTTCCAGAAGGGCTTGGGACAATGTCCCCAGCCCCAAGCAAAAGCCAGGTTCTTGATAGATGCTCAGGAAATGTTTTTTGATGAATAAATACCAACTAACAATTACGTGTAGGATTTCTCTAGGCAGAAAAGAGAATTCTAAGTAAAAAGAATAGTATAAGACCAGGTTTTTAAATTGTTTGATCTCAGGGCCCCTGTATACTCTTGAAAATTGAAAATCCCCAAACTGATATTTACCATATTAGAAATTAAAATAAAAATTCTAGTAGCAATTAATTCCTTTTAGACCACTAAATCTCCTATACATTAATATAAATAACATTTTTTATGAAAAATAACTGTTTTATGGAAAAAAAAGTTTTCGGAGAAGGGTGGGATTGTTTTACATTTTTGCAAATCTCGTTAATATCTGGCTTAATGGAAGATGGCTGTAGTCTTATATCTACTTCCACATTCAATGTGTTGTTTTGATCCAAGATCAAAACAGGTATGTAGTTGGAAACAGAAGAGTATTTTAATAACCTTTCAGATAACTGTGAACATTCTTCTGTAATATTACATCAAAACTCAACAAGTGGTAGGTTTATTAAAGATTAGTTGCAGTGTGAAATTTGAAACTATCTGGATGAACTTTTTGTACTCTATTACGTTAAAATCTATTGCTCTGACTTGCACTTTGAATAATCTTTTATCCAGGCGTGATTTTGTAACATGATGCACTGATCACATGGAAACTAGTGATTCGATGAGTTAGGCAGAGCTTCCGAATTTGACCCATTTCATCTATACAATATCAAAATAATCAGTTATTAGTATCACCACTAATTTCATCAGGAAACTTTTATTATTTATTTATTTATTTGAGAGAGAGATTGAGAGAGAGCTTGGGGGCGGGGGGCGTGGTGCAGAGGGAAAGAATCTCAAGCAGACTCTGCACTGAGCATGGAGCCTGATGCGGGGCTTGATCTCACAACCCTGAGATCATGACCTGAGCCAAAATCAAGAGTCAGACACCCAACCAACTGAGCCACCCAGGCACCCCTATTTTTTTTTAAGTAGCCCCCACACCAAGCATGGAGCCCAACATGGGGCTTGAACTCACGACCCTGAGATCAAGACCTGAGCTGAGATCAAGAGTTGGACCCTTAACCAACTGAGCCACCCCGGTGCCCCCATCAGAAAAGCTTGAAATCTGGGGAAGCTGTCAAGCTCACAGTGGCAGATACAAGTTTTCCACAATTCTAAGTTTTAAATAAAAGCTAGAATTTTATCATTGGCAACAAATACTACCAGTTGTTTTCCTCTAAGT